AAAAAAAAAAAAAAAAATCCTGTGACTCAGGGAATCCTTAATTTTATTTTGAGGTTGATGTGGACTCATCCACTGGGCTCATTTAAAACTCTGCTTGTGGTCACCCAGTGTCTCGAGCAGGATCTCAGGTCCCCTCTCCTGCCGTCGCAATTTACAAATCAGAGGTAGAAGCAGCGACGGGAAGTATCTAGCACTGAATCGTAAGCAAAATCTAAACTAAGGCCCACTGGACAGTAAAAGCCAGTGAAGTCCAGCATGGTGGTGCACATGCAGAATCTCAGCATTGAGGAGGCTGAAGCAGGAGGGTCCTGTGAGATTGAGGGCAGCCTGGACAATAGTGAAGTCAATCATCCTGGACAGGGGGAACTACCCACTCGGGCCCCCCTCCTGTCCCTCTCTTGGACAGGAGCTTTCTTTCTCTCAATAAATATATTCTGCTCATAACCTCTGTTTGTTCCTAAAATTCATTCTTCAGTTTTAGAGAACACGAACTCGTACAGGTCAGGTCGGGAGATCATTTTTCCCTATGTCATTTGGAGGTTCCCTGTATGGTTTGGAGGTCACCCACCCAGGATCAGTTTTTCTCCCTGTATCATTTTGGAGGTTTCCACCGAGATCACTGGACGGAGGTATGAGTTTGCTTTTCTTTCATAAATTCTGGATTGGGACTTGCTTAGGTAACAAAATTTTTTTTTAAGCTATTATTTATTTATGTGTGTGTGTGTGTGTGTGTGTGTGTGTGTGTGTGTGTGTGTATGTATGTATGCGTGTAGCCAGCTCAGCCCACCAGGGGGCAGGGGCTGGCTGGCATGTGGTGCTGGGGGATTGAACCGCAGTCCCTGTGATTTGCTAAGCTTGTTCTTAGACCACTGAACTATCTCACCAGCCCCTTCCTCTTCTTTTTTGAGACAGGGTTCAAGCTGGCAGCTGCCTCTGCCTCCTCCTCTTCCTCTTCCTCTTCCTCTTCCTCTTCTTCCTCCTCCTCCTCCTTTTTTGACACAGGGTTCAGGCTGGCCTTGAACTCACTATATAGCCCCAGGAAGGCCTCCAACTTGTGGTGATCTTCTCGTGTCAGCCTCCCAAATGCCGGGATTATAAGCATGTGCCATCACACCTAGCTTCAAATGCAGAGGCTTTGGATGCACACTCAAAGACCAGATCTACCAATAAGAGGATAAGAACACTGAAAAAGGTAATTGGTTCAAATCTCCAAGGGTCCTGACAGCCAGAATAAACTGAAGTCCTCCGTGAACACGATGGTCTCTATGCCTAGAGACTTAGAAAGAGTTTACTACAGACCATATATACACCTTGGCTCCCATGAAAAGAAACTAGAGTAATGAAGATGATTTGGAGGGGCCGGGGAGGTGGCTCAGTGATATAAGTGCCTGCCTGGCAAGGTCTTGAGTTTGATCCCCAGTCCAAAAAACAAAATAAGATAAAAAATAAAATAAATTTGGGGCTGGAGAGATGGCTCAGTGGTGTAAAGCACCTACTTGAAACAAGCTTGGCAATGCACAGGGACCACGGTTCAATCCCCCAGCACC